AAATAGCACATATGCACATTCACAATTCTGTCTGTTGACATTATCTTTTTCTCTATATTTTTTTAATTTTCTCTATATTTTTTTTACTATATTGTTATTTATAATTTATTGTCTATTCTCTTTATTATTAGTGTTTTATTATGTTACATTTTATTTATGTCTGCACTATGTCTGTACTTTATGTACTGGAAGCTCCTGACACCAAGACAAATTCCTTGTGTGTGTAAACGCCCTTGGCAATAAAGCTTTATCTGATTCTGATTCTGATGTCCTTCAGATAAGCCAACACCAGTCTCTCAAATGACTTCATGACCACAGATGTTAGGGCAACAGGTCTATAATCAAGTCCTGTGATTTTGGGTTTCTTTGGGATAGGGATGATTGTGGAGCATTTGAAGCAGGCAGGGACTTCAAACAGCTACAGTGATCGGTTGAAGATCTGCGAAAAGATGGAGACCAGCTGGTCAGCAGAGGTTTTCAGACAGGCTGGTGAAACACCATCTGGGCCTGGTGCTTTCCTTTTCTTCTGCTTTCTGAAGACCTGACGCACATAAACTCCACTGATCTGAAGTCCAGGAGTGGGGGAGAGGGGGGTTGCTGGGGGAATTAATGGTTGTGTAGAGAGATGGTCAGAGTGTGTGTGGGTCGTGAGACCGGGAGTTTTGAATCTACAGTAAAACTCATTCAGGTCTTCAGCAAGTTGTTGATTCGCCTCAGTGCTGGGGGATGGTCTCTTGTAGTTTGTAATGTCTTTCAGGCCTTTCTACACTGAAGCAGGGTCGTTTGCTGAAAACTGGTTTTCCAGCTTTTTAGCGTAGCTCCTCTTAGCCACATGTCAGTGTGTTCCTGGCCTGATTGTACAAGATTCTGTCACCTCCTCTGTAGTCATCCTCTTTGACCTGGCGAAGCTGTCTGAGTTTTGCTGTGGCACCGCCGTGAGTGGCAGCCTCTCCAGCAGCTCCGTGTGCCTTGCTTTTTCTTTTCCTTTGCAACTGATCACCATCAGATTATCATTTATCTTATGGATATGGATTTTCACATGCTGAAACTCGTTTATTCAAGCAATCAACTATTTGCTCTAAAAACAAAGTACCGTTCCGATGTGGTTCCCCGTTTACCTGACAAGGTGAGGAGGCCATATCATGGCTTCAGAGCCGGCGCTAAGCGGCTGGTGAAGAAGTGGCGATATAAGCCTTCGGTCCCTTCTGTGATCATGGGAAATGTGAACTCACTACCAAACAAGATTGATGAACTGACTGCGCTGGTGAAAAATGTCAAGATCTACAGAGAGTGCAGTGTGTTGTACTTCTGTGAAACGTGGCTCACGACTAGCATCTCGGATGCTAATGTGGAGCTACCTGGCTTCAGCACAGTCAGGGTGGATAGAGACATGAATATAGGACTATTGATTTAATGTATGCAAATGTAAAGGATGCATACAGGGCCACCCCACTGCCTGCACTAGGGAAAGCAGACCACAACCTTATTCTGCTTCAGCCTCACTACAAACCAAGAGTGAGGAGACTACCCACAACCAGACGCTCATTCAAGAAGCGGTCTCCTGAGGCAGAGCAGGCTCTGATAGACTGCTTCGGAACTACAGACAGGGATGTAATGCAGGGGTCACACAGTGGGAACATTGAGAAGATTGTTGACTGCACTACTGACTACATCAACTTCTGTATGGATGGTTTTGTTCGAGAAAGAACTGTACGCTGCTATGCTAAGAATAAGCCCTAGATCACGAGGGACATTAAGGGTCTTTTGAACCAGAAGAAGAGGACCTTTAAGGATAGTGATTAGAAGGAGCTGAAGTGTGTTCAGAGGGAACTCAGTGTCCAGCTCAAGGAGGCGAAGGAGCAGTACAGGAGGAAGCTGGAGAAGAAGTTAAAGAATAACAGCATGAAGGAGGTGTGGGAGGGGATGAAGACAATCGCTGGGTAAACACCATCTGGGCCTGGTGCTTTCCTTTTCTTCTGCTTTCTGAAGACCTGACGCACATAAACTCCACTGATCTGAAGTGCAGGAGTGGGGGAGAGGGGGGTTGCTGGGGGTATTAATGGTTGTGTAGAGATGGTCAGAGTGTGTGTGGGTCGTGAGACTGGGAGTTTTGAATCTACAGTAAAACTCATTCAAGTCTTCAGCAAGTTGTTGATTCGCCTCAGTGCTGGAGGATGGTCTCTTGTCTTTCAGGCCTTTCCACACTGAAGCAGGGTCGTTTGCTGAAAACTGATTTTCCAGCTTTTTAGCGTAGCTCCTCTTAGCCACACGTCAGTGTGTTCCTGGCCTGATTGTACAAGATTCTGTCACCTCCTCTGTAGGCATCCTCTTTGACCTGGCGAAGCTGTCTGAGTTTTGCTGTGGTGTCGCCGCGAGTGGCAGCCTCTCCAGCAGCTCCGTGTGCCTTGCTTTTTCTTTTCTTTTGCAACTGATCACCATCAGATTACCATTTATCTTATGGATATGGATTTTCACATGCTGAAACTCGTTTATGATGTGGTTCCCTGTTTACCTGACAAGGTGAGGAGGCCATATCATGGCTTCAGAGCCGGCGCTAAGCGGCTGGTGAAGAAGTGGCGATATAAGCCTTCGGTCCCTTCTGTGATCATGGGAAATGTGAACTCACTACCAAACAAGATTGATGAACTGACTGCGCTGGTGAAAAATGTCAAGATCTACAGAGAGTGCAGTGTGTTGTACTTCTGTGAAACGTGGCTCACGACTAGCATCTCGGATGCTAATGTGGAGCTACCTGGCTTCAGCACAGTCAGGGTGGATAGAGACATGAATATAGGACTATTGATTTAATGTATGCAAATGTAAAGGATGCATACAGGGCCACCCCACTGCCTGCACTAGGGAAAGCAGACCACAACCTTATTCTGCTTCAGCCTCACTACAAACCAAGAGTGAGGAGACTACCCACAACCAGACGCTCATTCAAGAAGCGGTCTCCTGAGGCAGAGCAGGCTCTGATAGACTGCTTCGGAACTACAGACAGGGATGTAATGCAGGGGTCACACAGTGGGAACATTGAGAAGATTGTTGACTGCACTACTGACTACATCAACTTCTGTATGGATGGTTTTGTTCGAGAAAGAACTGTACGCTGCTATGCTAAGAATAAGCCCTAGATCACGAGGGACATTAAGGGTCTTTTGAACCAGAAGAAGAGGGCCTTTAAGGATGGTGATCAGAAGGAGCTGAAGCGTGTTCAGAGGGAACTCAGTGTCCAGCTCAAGAAGGCGAAGGAGCAGTACAGGAGGAAGCTGGAGAAGAAGTTAAAGAATAACAGCATGAAGGAGGTGTGGGAGGGGATGAAGACAATCGCTGGGTGCAGCTCAAAGCGGGGTGATAACATTGAAGGAGATGTGGAGAGAGCAAACCAGCTGAACAACTTCTTCAACAGGTTTGACCACCCCAACTCGTTTACACCTCATAAGACTGCACCAATCACCCCCCTTCTTCTTTTCTTTCTCTCTCTCCCCGGGTATCAACTTCAGCACGGAGGAGATTGTCCCCACACCCATGATCACGGCAACCCAGGTGTGTGGAGAACTGAGGAGGCTTCGTCCCAGCAAAACAGCTGGTCCAGATGGAGTATCCCCACGACTGCTGAAGGTCTGCGCACGGGAGCTGGGCGAACCCCTACAGCGTATCTTCAACCTGAGCCTGGAACATGAGAGGGTACCTTAGCTGTGGAAAACATCCTGCATCATCCCAGTCCTGAAGAAACCACGCCCTGGAGAGCTGAACGATTATAGGCCGGTCGCCCTGACACCACACATAGTGAAGGCCAAGGAGAGGGTGCTGCTTCACAACATGAGGCCACAGGTCTGCCATTCCCTCAACCCTCTGCAGTTTGCATACTGGGAGAACGCCATTATATACATGTTACACCTATCCCTCTCTCACCTGGACAGGGGCAGTGGGGCTGTGAGAATTATATTCTTGGACTTCTTCAGTGCCTGAAGATACCATTCAGTCTCTGCTACTCAGAGAGAAACTGATAAAGATGGGAGTAGGCTCACACCAGGTGGTGTGGATAACGGACTACATTACAGCCAGACCTCAGTACGTGCGACTGGGGGACTGCAGGTCTGACACTGTGGTCAGCAGTATGGGAGCGCCGCAGGGGACTGTGCTCTCTATCTGGTTCTGTTCACCCTGTACCCGTCAGACTTCCAGTACAACTTGGAGTCCTGCCACATGGAAATTTTTGCATGACTTAAGCGACATGCAAAAGAACCCTGCAATTCTCCCAAAGGACAGTCAGATATCAACCTTACTCATCAAACATTATCATGAACAAGTGTGTCACCAAGAGAGAGGGAGGACTATGAATGAATTGCGTTCAAATGATATCTGGATCTTGTGATGTAGCCAGGCTGTTTCCACACATATCTACAAATGCACTAAGTGCAGGAAATTTAGAAGACCCACTGAAGAGCAGAGGATGGCAGATCTTCCGCAAGAACGTATGGGGACAACTTTTCCTTTCACGTACTGCGGAATGGACTACATCATGTAAGGAAGAAAGGAGCTAAAGCGTTATTGGCTTCTGTTTACTTGTATGTGTTCAAGAGCTGTGCATGTAGAAATGTTGAACGATTTATCCACTAATGCCTTCATTAATGCGTTACATGCTTTCATTGCCATACGTGGACCTGTGCGTCAACTTAGATCTGACCAGGGCAATAATTTTGTTGGTGCAAGATGAGAATTTGCTGAAGCACATGGGTGGCATTTGGGAGAGGCAAATTCAAACAATAAGTGTCTTGATATCCATTCTGGATCAGTCAGCTCAAAGACTTGATAGTGCCTCTCTAAGAGCATTTCTTTATGAGGCCATGGCTATTACACATAGTAGTAGAAGTCAGTTGATATTTCTTGCTTATTTAATTATTTTAAAATATTTTGTTAAAGACCTTTAATTTGAAACTGCTTAGTAAAGAGCTGTTTTTGAGTGGAGACTTTTATTATGAAAAGATTGACTCAGGAAGACAGATGTCTGCAACGGCAATTTAAAGAGTGTTTTAATGTTTATATTCTACTCATCTGGAGTTAAAAAAAACATCAGATGCAAGATTAAGTTGTCCTTTTGGTAACAAGCAGCCAATTAAGTAAGTTTTTAATTTATATTATATAAGATTGTTGTGGATTGTGTTGCTGTGTGGATGAGAACAATATCTGTACAAAGACTATATTTAAGCTGTTAAAGTGAACTTAACTCTGTTTAAAAGGTTTACTGTAATATTCTATAAGGCAGCAGAATATGGAGGCAGAGGGATGCAACTTATGTCTCTTTATTTTACAGATGCCAAACACGAGCTGGATCCTGCTAGGAGAACAACACTCTGCTGAACTCTGAGTGGTAAGCAATTATATGAGAACACCCTCTAGTGGTCACACTCCCAAATGACATAATACTTAATGCTTCACTACATCCCATTCCCCCTGATAACACTAGTCCCTTAACAATTATTTCTGGTAACCCATGCTGACTGAAACTCTGTCTCAGGCAGTGGATGGTAACAGCGGATGTAGCGTTATTCAAAGGATACGCTCTCTATCTGTTTAGAGTAGGGCTGCACGATTAATCGAATGCGATTGTCATACGCATTTTGTCAGTAAAGACGGTTCTGTGATCAGTAGTAAATCTCCATCACATGCTTTCAGATGGAGCAGCATTTACTCAATCTACTAGCATTTACTTAATCTAATTATACAGATGGAGTATATAATACATTACTCCACTGTACAGCTACACTGTACACCACTGTACAGCTTTAACTACAGAGCTGATAAAGGCTATGGCGATTAGCATTGCATTATTATATACTTTATTATAATAAAAATTATAATAAGACAAACTCAGATAAACCATATATTGTTGTAGTCATGTGTTTATTAGTCACGTTGAATCAATGAAAGCAGTTAAATCTTCTGTTTATTTAGCAACCGCTATAGGGATTTCCTGGATTTCTTCTGCGGGGCGTATTTGGAGTTTCTGTGCGAGAGCACCCTCAGGCCTTCGTAAAGAGATTTACTACTGATCACAAAACCGTTCTTCCCTGTCAAGATGCTTATGACAATCGCAGCTTTTGCCAAATCGTGATTGCGATTTCATTTCGATTAATCGTGCAGCCCTAATTTAGACTACGCATCCACCAGGATCAGGAAAATATTTCCTTGCCACGGACCTGCATAATCAATATGGATCCTTCATGGTAGCTTTGGAATTTCCCAAAGGTGTAAGGGTGCACAATGAGGAATTTTCCTGTTCTTCTGACATCGGGCACACGCTTTTACCAGTCCTTCCACAGCAGCATCCATCTGGGGCCACCACACGTAGGTCCATGCCAACCACTTCATTCTGGTTATGCCTGGATGGCCACTGTGCAACGGTCTGAGTATGGCTGCACGGCCTTGGCGGGGTAATCACCACATGTGCACCCCACAATACACAGCCTCCCTGGACACTGAGTTCATCCTGTTTTTTAAGGTATGCTCCAAAAGCGGGATCCTCCAGTCTTTTGGGCCATCCCTTAAGCACATACTCTCTTACTCATGCCAAAACAGGATCTTTAACAGTCCATTTCTTCACCTTTGGATACATGAAGAAGCTATCTGTGGCACTTCTCTGAGTTCACTGAACAGCGCAGTCAGTGGCTTGTGATCTGTCACAATGGAAACGGTCTGTCATATACATATATGTGGAATTTCTTTATTCCGAAAATGACAGCAACACCCTCCTTATCCAGTTGAGAGTAATTATTTTCTGCTGCATTTAACATCTGTGACACAAATCCTATCAGTCTGTCTGTTCCATCTTCTATCCTGTGAGACAGCACGGCCACCACCACGGCCACATACGGGGATGCATCACAAGCCAAGATGAGAGGTTTGGTAAGATTGTAGTGCACTAATATAGCAGATGACTGGAGGAGCTTTTTTGACTTTACAAAGGCTTCTTCCTGCTCACTGCCTCACGTCCACTTTGTCTCCTTCCTCAACAACCTGTGCAAAGGTGCCAGCACTGTGGACAGACTGGGGAGAAATTTATGATAATAGTTCAGCAAGCCTAGATAAGCTTTCAGTTCACTCACCGACTGAGGAGCAGGGGCTTCTTGAATCGCTTGTACTTTTTCTGCGACTGGCTGCATGCCTGCAGCACTGAATCGGTGGCCCAGGAATATCACTTCCTTTCCCAAACACTAGGGATGCTCCGATCCGCCTTTTTCGCCTCCGATACCGATTCCGATACCTAGGGTTCGGTATTGGCCGATACCAATACCGATCCGATACCAGAAGTTTTTTCCCTCATTTAAATAAATGTAGAATTTATATATCTCTGTGTGTGGAATGACAGCCACAGTGGAGAAAAGAGTTTGTGTGAACTTTAATGTAAGGACTTAAATATTCATATGTAGCTCACATTAAGCTATCGTATGGCTTCAGAAGTAACACAGAATAATTTGCACAATCAAGAAAAAAAAAAAGAAAAAAATCTCGGATTTGGATCGGCCCTCTCTGACCGATACCCGATCCGAGAAAAATTGCACTATCGGAGCCGATACCCGATATGAATATCGGATCGGCGCATCCCTACCAAAAACTCACACTTGCTCCTTTTCAGTCTCATTCCACTTGTTTTTAGTCTCCTCAGAACCTCCTTTAGATACCTTATGGCGCTTTTCCACTGCGTGGTACGACTCGGCTCGGCACGGCTCAGTACGGCACGGCACGGTTCGGCTTGGCACGGTTTGCGTTTCCACTGCAGTTCAGTACCGCTTTAGAGTGGGCGGGATTATTCACATGACGTTATAGTTGCGCCGCCTCTACTACCACGACTCCTAAAAAAGCTTTTTCATTCCGCGTCGCCCCATCAAGCTCTCGCTGGATCCGCTCCTCTGCTATCAACGAGAGGAACGTCTGTTCTTCCGCAACAGACAACAAAACTTTTTGGTTGTTAAAAAAAGGTGCGCTCGTTCAAAACAGTTGCGTTCGATCCTTCGCTGGCTGTGCTGATTTAAATCTAGCGCTTCTGTTGTGTTTGTGTCGCAAGTTCAGTGACGATTCTCTCTGGCCAATCCGTGATCAGCAGAGTTTACACGTCACGTTTTGGTAACGGTACGGTTCGCTTGGAACCCCAACCGAGGTGGTACTAAAAAAAGTACCAGGTACCAGGTACTGTACCCAGTGGAAAACCCCCCAAAAGTGAACCATACCGAACCGTACCGTGCCGTACCATGCAGTGGAAAAGCGCCAATAGAGAGGGCACTAAGTCCAACTGACAGAAGGGGCTCAACGGATCTCTCTGTATGGCCTGAAGGGCCACTGAGAAGGGATGTGGCCTTGGAGGATTCAACCTCCGGGGGCCTCCTAGGAATCTGATAACCAGATTGTGCTTCCCCACCAAACTTCCATCTACAGTATTGTGGTTCGCTGCAATAGCGACCACGTACACCTTGAGTGTACACGCAGACAGGCGGCCTTCTTGGAGGAAGGATAGCACAGATCTGATGCCACATCTCAGATGATCCTTCCCATGGGAAGAACACCAATTCACGAAAACGCACCATTTCAGGTCATATAGACCAATTTGGAGTAGACGTCACAGTTACGTCACTTGCAGCTGTGCGCACTGTGGTGGCAGAAAAACACTGGTAACAAGTGGAGGGAAATGGGTAAAATCCATGGAATAAGACAAAAAAATGTATTGTTGTGCCTTTGGATGTCAGAATCGGATTGCAAATAATTTTTGTAGAATACTGTCATCAAAGACACCATTTGAAGCTAAACGCAGACATTTACACTGACAGACTATGGATGAAACCTGCTATGATTACCCCACTTTTAAAGCATAAATTTGATTTTAACAATAGGTCTACATAATATACACATATGCAGTTCATAGGGGACATAGTGTATTAGCCCTGCAGTAAAAAAGTCAGAATTTTGAAATATAAACTCAAAATTACTTTTTTTTATTGTTTTATTCCATAGACTGCTACTTTAAAACTGTCATTTTCTGCCACCAGATAGGCTCCGCCCACAAAAAACATCATCAGTGTTTGCAAACACCAAATTGGTCTATAGCCGCCTCGTAGAGGGGGTCCTAGCCTGCGTAATGGTATTCACCACTGCGGGTGAAAGACCTCCGAGTTTCTCCTGGTCGCATCTATAGAGCAGACATGGAGGTTCCAGAGATCTGGGCATGGGTGCCAGATTGTGCCCTTCCCCTGGGAGAGAAGGTCCCTCCTCAGGGGAATCCGCCAGGGAGGAGCTGATGGCAAAAGCACGAGCTCCGAGAACCAAGTCTTGTTGGGCTATTAATGCCTGCAGGACAGCCATGGTGTGCAGAGTGGACACAGCTTGTCCAGAAGCATTATAAGCTCTCGCCACAAAGGACAAGGTAACTTATGCTCTAGACGGGAGTTTTGGATGGCCCCTCCAGGCGGCGGCATCTTGCATGCATTTTCATTCTGCGTCGCCCCATCAAGCTCTCGCTGGATCCGTTCCTCTGCTATCAACGAGAGGAACGTCTGTACTTCCTCAACCGCAGACAACAAAACTTTTTGGTTGTTAAAAAAAGGTGCGCTCGTTCAAAACAGTTGCGTTCGATCCTTCGCTGGCTGTGCCGATTTAAATCTAGCGGTTCTTTTGTGTTTGTGTCGCAAGTTCAGTGACGCAGGTAGTGACGATTCTCTCCGGCCAATCCGTGATCAGCAGAGTTTACACGTCACGTTTTGGTAACGGTACGGTTACCGCACTTGGAACCCCAACCGAGGTGGTACTAAAAAAAGTGTACCCAATGGAAAACCCCCAAAAAGTGAGCCGTACCGTGCCGTACCATGCAGTGGAAAAGCGCCATTAGATGCTCCTTGTCATTTGTCCCTGTGACTACTATGTCATCCAGGTACACTGCAATGTGTTTTATGTTTTGGAGAATTCCCTCCATGGTGCTTTGGAAAATGGCTGGACTTGATGCCACCCCTTAAGGGAGTCTACAGTAAGTGTACAGCCCCTTGTGTGTGTTAATAGTGACATATTTCTTGGCACTTTCATCCAGCATGATTTGCTGATATGCATGGCTCATGTCCAATTTGGAAAATATCTGGCCTCCAGCTAACTGAGTAAACAAATCTTCCACTTTCGGAATGGGATATTGTTCCACACTGGATGCTCCATTTACTGTGAGTTTGTAATCTCCACAAATCCGAATAGAGCCACCTGGTTTCTTTACAGGCACTATAGGAGCTGCCCACTCTGCAAACTGCACTGGTTCAATGATTTTTCTCTTAACCAGTCTCTGGAGCTCAGTCTCCACCAAGGGCTTGACGGCAAATGGAATGCATCTGGGCTTAAAGAATCGTGGTTGGTCCTCGGTGTTGACATGAATTTTAGCTGTGGTGCCTTTGAGCTACCCCAGCTCGTCTTTAAACACCTCTGTGTGTCTGTCTAGCACATCTGCTAACTTCAGTGCTGGCACTGCTGTTACTTGATTCACCAGCTGTGGCAACATCCCAAAGTCTTTCAGCTAGCCTCGCCCCAACAAGTTAGGCCCCTCTCCTTGTACCACGACCATTGTCATTCCTTTTCTTACATTTTGGATTTCCACTGTTACTGTGGCTTGGCCCAGCACTTCCGTCTTTTCCCCTGTATAGGTCTTCAGTTTCAAACTGCATTGTCTCAATTCTGGCATGTCGTTTTGTTTCCACAACTAAGAATATTGCTCTTTGCTGATGATTGTCACTCCACAAACTGTGTCGAATTCAAACTCCACTTCTATGCCATTCAAGGTTGGACTTGGGATACACTGTATATTGTTAATATCACTGGTGTCCTCCCTCTCGTTACATTCCTCCTCTGTAATGAGATAAGTCCTCCAAACTTTTTCTTTTTTCTCTCCTTTTTGTCCTTTGAATGGAGTCTTTTGGCACCCCACAGCAGTTTGTTTTGCCCTGCATGCTCGTTTTATGTGTCCATGCCTTCCACGTTTATGGCAGAGGTCATTCAGGAACTTACATTCTTCTGGCACATGTTGTCCTTCCCATCTGTAACACACAATGTCTTTTTGTCGCCCCTTTTTCTTAGCTGAGTACACTCTATGCACTGCTGTTGGTCCTTTAGGTGACTTCACGTTTTGTCCTGCCTCCTCAATTAGCAATCCTTGCAAATCTCTCACGTTTTTATTCGCAGACTCCATTGCCTGGCAGATGTTAAGTGCCTTCTTGAAAGTTAACTCCACTTCTGCCAGCAGCCGCCTCAGCATTCGGTCGTCATTCACTCCACAGACAAGTCTGTCCCAAAGCATTTGTGGAAGTGTGGCCCCGTACTCGCAGTGCTGTGCTAACTTTTTCAATTGTGCCACATAATTAGCATCAGTTTCACCATCTTTCCGTGTACGTGAGTTAAAATTAAATCTTTGCACAATTTCACTTGTCTTAGGATTGTAATTAAGGGGCAGTCATGGCCTAATGGTTAAAGAGTCGGACTTGTAACCTGAAGGTTGCGGGTTCGAGTCTCAGCTCCGGCAGGGATTGTAGGTGGGGGGAGTGAATAACCAGCGCTCTCTTCCACCCTCAATATCACGACTAAGGTGAGACCAATGAGCAAGGCACCAAATGCTTAATTGTGAACAAGTTAACCATTAATTAATGCTTAACTAATGCATTATTCTGGACCCCTATTCTAAAGTGTTACCGAGAATCCTTGTGTTCGTGAAAAGACTGGGGGGAGCTACACATAGCTCCTTGTAAACCATAATTTTATATAGCCTATTACTTCTAATTGTAATGGAGCTGTGCTAAATTCGGGGTAAACCAAAATAGTCTTTTAATAAACTTCACACAGAATCCAGGAACGGGGGTTAGCATAACACAACAACAAACAATAACCGGCCAAGGGCTAGAACAGAACAGGGAGTATAAATACAAAAGCAAATGAGAGACTAATGACATTATTAAATGAACACAGGTGAACAGAATGCCCACCCTCAATATCACGACTAAGGTGAGACCAATGAGCAAGGCACCAGACCCCCAACTGCTCCCCGGGCGCCGCAGCAATATGGCTGCCCACTGCTCCGGGTGTGTATTCACGGTGTGTGTGTTCACTACTGTGTGTGTGCACTTGGATGGGTTAAATGCAGAGTACAAATTCCAAGTATGGGTCACCATACTTGGCCACACGTCACTTCATTCACTTCACTAATGATTTTTTAGAACAGTCACCAGTTCATCATAATTTTTCTTTCCTGGCTTTGCAGGGCAGAGCAAACTTCTTAATAAATTATATGTGGACGCCCCAACTCTCAAAATCATCGCTTTCTTTTTTATCAGCTTCCTTAATTCCATTAGCTTGGAAAAAATACTCCAGCATTTCGATATATTCATCCCATAACTGTGATGCATGAACAGACTCATGGTCCCCACCAGCATCGTCATTTGGTCTTGTTAATCGTCGATTTTGTCTCCTTGCAAGCGGTCTGTTTACACTTCAGCACCGGTATTCCTATGGCCATCCAGCACTCACATCAATTATTTCTTCTGACACACGACTCCTTAATTCCTCGTCGCCAATTATGTAATATTCTGTAAGGCAGCAGAATACGGAAGCAGAGGGATGTAACTTATATCTCTTTATTTTACAGATGCCAAACACGAGCTGGATCCTGCTAGGACAACAACACTCTACTCTGCTGAACTCTGAGTGGTAAGCTATTATATGAGCCGTCTAGTGGTCACACTCCCAAATGACATAATACTTAATGCTTCACTACATTTACAAAGACAATATTTATTTATTTATTTAATATATTTATGTTTTTTATATTCTTAGTTTTTACTTTATTTTTGAACCAGTCAATAAGTCGCCATTTATCAGAGACACAGAATCCAGGAACGGGGGTTAGCATAACACAACAACAAACAATAACCGGCCAAGGGCTAGAACAGAACAGGGAGTATAAATACAAAAGCAAATGAGAGACTAATGACATTATTAAATGAACACAGGTGAACAGAATGCCATAATCAGGGCAACTAAGGAAAACTAGGTCAAAGGAACAAAACAAGGCAGGAGAACAGGAACAGGGAAAACACAGCTAAAAGTCCATAACCGTAACAGTTTGCCCCCCTCCCGGAAGGTGCATCCTCACGCCTAAAGAAGTCCAACTGAGGAGGGAGGGAGGCAGGGGCTCTGGAGGAGGGCGTGGAGCAGGAGAAAGGTAGGGGCTGGGAGAAGGTGATGGTGGGAGGAACCATGGTGGAGAAGACGGATGTTGGAGACAGGGAGGAGCCAGGAGCAGGGGGACGGAGTGATGAGGCGAAGCCGGAGGAGTGGAGACCCGAGGCGATGGATGGTCGACGACTGACCAAGGCAGAGCTCTAGGGACAAGGGAGCCCGGTGGAGTCAGTGGGATGATGGGCCACGTTGTGGAGACGAGGGAGCAAGGAGCCAAGGCGGAGCCAAAGGGTCGGAGGACCGAGGTGGAGTATGGGACTCAGAGGCTGGAGGCAGAGGCAGGGGAACCTCACACCTAGGCGGAGCTGGAGACTGGAAGGCTAGAGGCGGATCAGAGTGCCCAGATGTCGCTGGCTGAGGGTGAGCTGAGGGACTGACAGGTACCAGCGGAGACAGGCCTGAGGAACAGGCTTGCATAAGGCTGGCATAAGTGAAGGCGGCAGAGGGAGGCTGGGTGGGAACTTAAAAGTCACAGGGAGCTCAGGAGACGGAGGAGAGCTGGACAGAACCAGGGGAGACTCAGGAGACACAGGAGATTCAAAGCTGGACGGAACCAGCGAAGACTCAGGAAATGTAGGAGATGCAGGAACATAGGAAATTATCTCCCCAGCCCAATTAATTAAATCCTTTTGAAAAATGCCCCTAAGTTCCTCAAAGTATTGTCCAGTGGCCAGTTTCAGCTCACCCTCAGCGGCAGGAGTGTGGGCAGGGCTTCTCTCCAAGCCCTCAATCTCCACCAGTACTCCCTCGGGGACGGACGATGTAGCCGGCTCACGCACCTGGTCAGACGAGTCTTGAGGCTCAGGCTCCGGGGAGATGATCGGCTCAGTCGTGGGTTCTCGTGCTGGCTCTCGTGTCGTGGCAGGCTCAGGCTCTCCAACTGAGGTGGGCTCAGGCAATTGCTCCGTGCAGTGGGATGACGGCTGGCTGGTCTCTGGTTCGGGAGTGGGGCTGGAGATGTCCTCCTCAGCGGGGCAGATGGAGAAATACAGTGTATTTCTCTCTAGCACCCACTCCACGAAAGCGGCAAAACTCCCTCGAGGACCATTCCCGACAGCTTTGCCTTAGTCGAAGTGTTAAGTCAGACAAAATAAAAGGTGCAAAGGCAGCTGTCCATGTAATCCGTAAGGTAGGCGAGATTTAGATAGTTCCTGGTGTGGTCCTCGAGGGAGCGATCCCCTTGCTCCAGGCAGAGGAGCATTAAAAATGTGTTAAAGAATACATAAAGAATTAACTTATTTTCTCTTACAACGATAATGTAGCCCTTCCATATTAATTAATAGGTTATAATGTAAGTATATGTACAAATACCTCTTTATTATGTTCTATTAGGTTTTATTTTGAGCCTCCAATAAAAGGAACCATATATATATATATACTCTTTATTAAAACTTTTTATTTATTGTTTTACCAACTTATATACCTTATATACTTAAAATCTAGATATCTGCATACAGTTCAATTCAAGTTTATTTGTATAGCGCTTTTCATGATACAAATCGTTGCAAAGCAACTTTACAGCAAATTATGTTTCTACAATATTTAGTGATAGCTTATCAGTGGTGACTGTCAGTTAATATACATATGGCAGAAATGTACGGAAAAATCAATTAAAGGCGTAATCAAACAGACGATGAACACTATTAACAGCAATTATCATATGATGCAATCAAACTTATAGCAAAATGTGGTAGTTCTGTATGTTGTTT